CAAGCTTTCAAGAGGGAACCTAGATCCAGAGGGCCTGGAGGAAGGTAGAATCTCCAGTGAGTAGTATTCAATCTGACTAGGCCGGGCTGATGCAATGAAATACAGACGGGTCTCTTGTGATACAGTAGTGAATAATTGTTATCAGGACTGTTTGTGAGGGTCAGAAATGTAAAGGTGGATGTTTTATAGAAAGGAGGGGAGTGATTAACTTTTCAGTCTAGGAGCGGAGGTCCCTAGGACCATCAGGGAGAAGAGCAGAGAGCAGAACCCTACCCAGAGAAGCAGTGATGCCTGAAATGGAGCCAGAGATGATGACGTGGAGCGATGGGGCAGCTGGAGACTTTAGATCCAGAGAGGGAGAACGACTGTGTGCTGAAGATCTGGGGGGCACGGGGGAAGGATTGCATGGAGGGGATTGTAATCATGGCAATGAGACGATATACGATAGAATGAATGTAAGATTGATGTTCTCCCATGTAAGCTATCACATAATTCACAATAAAACATTAAAAAAAAAAAGTTACTTTGGACAACATTGTCATTAAAGTGTTGTCAAGTAGCAACTCTACATAAGGTTTCTAAGGCACTGGTGGGTTTGAACTGCAGACCCTGCACTTCAAACCAACCTTGCAGTCCAGTACTTATTCCACAGTGTCACTCCATGACATCTTTAAAGGGCTCAAACTGTGCTTCTTTTAAATGTTCTTTTAGTTTGGGGAACAAAAATAATTCTGAAGGGGCAAGAGCAGTGCTGTAGGATGGATGGGGTAAGGTTTCCCTACAAAATTCTCATAGGACAGCCCTTGTTACCCTCAAAGAATGAGTAGAAACAAGAGCATGGAGAAAAAATTCCTTGGAGCACTTTTTTTGTCTTTTAATCTCACCAAAGTGGTTTTTAATTTTCTTTAAACTTCTCTACAATAAGCCCCTGTAACTGTTTTGTGTCCTTCAAAAACCTCACTATGACTCCTTGACAATCTGAAAGATAGTTGCCCTCTCTGCCTTGAATTTAACTGGCCCAACAGATGCTCATAGTCACTGTTTTGATTGGACCTTGCTTCTGGACCATAATGGTAAATTCAAGACTTACCTTTGGTTATGATTCATTCCACAAAATCTTCATTAGCTTCAATGTCACTTAAAATTTGGATGGAAAGATCAGCTTCTCGAGTTGATTAATCTTTGCAGATTTTTTTTTTTTTTAAGTATCCTAACTAGACTAAAACAAGTGTATCACTGAGTAGTTCTTTGCTCTGTTTCTTTTAACCCATTTCCATGGACTCAACTGTGACTCATTTCAACCTTACAGGACAGAGCAGAACTGTCCCCTAGGGTTCCCATGGCTGTGAATCTTTACAGGAACAGACTGTCTTACTGCTCTCCCTTGAGGCAGCTGGAGGGTTCGAACTGCTAAACCACAGCACCAGGGCTCATCTAATTACTACTCAGGTTCAAAGCATCTACCCAAATGGCTGACATTAAGCAACTGCATAAACACCTGAGGATGTTAGAGTCAAAGATGTGTTACCTAACGCCATGCAAAGCCTCCTTTTTAGTGTTGTGGACACTTAAATCAAACTTTCAAGAATCTCAGTTTCCTTTGAAAGTGAAATATGGAGGAAACAGACAAATCTTAGAAATGAGAACATCCAAACCAAGTTATGAAGGCAACTTTAAAAATTGTGTTAGGCAAGAGGAACCCTGGTAGCACAGTGGACTAAGCGGTGGGCTGCGGTCCGAGGAACCCACCAGCTGCTCAGAGGGAAAAACATGAGGCTGTCTGCTTCCATAAAGATTGACAGCTTCGGAAACCCCAGGGAGCAGTTCTACTCTGTCCTATAGGGTCACTATGAGTGGGAACTGTCTAACTAACAGTGGATATTTTCATTTTAGAGTTAGAAAGATCCAGCAGCAGAAGTCAGATTCTAAACCCCAGAGAAACTCCTGCAGGCTCTTCTGAAGGGGTCCCTAGATAACATGAGAGGAAATTCAGGCCATCTCTAGGAATCAACAGACCCCTGGCTACTAGCCAGCAAGGAAAAGATGAGCTTGATCCTACAACTGCAAGGAACTGAATGTGGGTGGCCTGAAGGAGCTTGTCTGAAGCTGATCTTCCCAGGAGCCAACAGAAAGGAATGTAGAGCACTGCCACACCTTAGTTCCAGCCGCTGAAGACTCAAACAGGACCCAGCTGAGCCTACCTGGTACTCTGACCCACAGAAGCTATCAGATAATAACTATATCCTGTCTTAAATCTGCAGGTTTGTGGCAGGTTGCTACAGCACAACAGAAGACAAATACACAAGCAATGACCCTGCAAGAATCCAGAAAGCAAAAGACAACTGGATTATGAACTATGCAGACAGCCTCTACACCCAAAAACTCTTCATCTGCCCTCCCAGTCCTTTAATCATCCCCTGCCTTCTCTGATGGCAACAACTCCTTCCTATTTTTAAATTCAGGGCTTTCCCAGAGAGGAATCCTTGATGCTAGGGCTTCTCTCACAGAAGTCAAAGTAGCACCTACACACAACTTCCTAATCTACAAGGGAGCTTCAAACAGTTCATGGGCTTTCCCCAAAGAGCGAACTTTTTGAAGCTCACTGGTACACAATCTACTTTGAGTTCAGAGTCCCTGGGGATGCGAAAGGTTAAGAGCCTGACTACTAACCTATAGGAGCTCTGGTGGTGCAGTGGATTAAGCATTGGGTTGCTACTAGAAAGGTCAGTGGTTCAAATCTACCAGCTGCTCTGCAAGAGACAGATGAGGCAGTCTATTCCTATAACCACTTACAGTTTTGGAAACCCTATGGGTCAGTTCTACTCTGTCCTATAGGGTCGTTATGAGTTGGAATCTACTCGATGGCAGTAGGCTTTTGGTTGACTGAAGTCCTACTGTGCTGCTGTAGGATAAGCACTGGACTGCAAGGTCAGTTTGAACCACAAGGTTAACAGTTCAACTCACCTGCTGCACCTTAGAAATTCTATATAGGGTTACTATGAGTTGAAACAAAGGAGCTCTGGTAGCGTAGTGGTTACGAATTGGGCTGCAAACCTTAAGGTCAGCGGTTCGAAACTACCAGCTGCTCCGCGGGAGAAAGATGAGGCTTTCTACTCCCGTAAAGATTTACACCCTCGGAAACCCTATACAGGGTCGCTTATGGGTCGGAACCGACTCGATGGCACATAACAACAACAACAATGAGTTGAAACCGACTTGACAGCACGTAACAATAACAACCAAAAGGTTGGAGATCTGACTTCATCCAGAGGCGCCTCAGAATACTGGCCGTGTTCCACTTCCAGCCATTGAAAACCCTGTGGAGCATAGCTCTACTCTGACACACTAAGGGGCACGATGAGCTGAGGTTGACTCACTGAGTGCAGCAATATCACCCTGGGCACTGGTTCTGGGAGATCTGTAGAATCATGGAAGGTGGGGGTCACAGCACTGCCCAGAGCCACACACCACAGAGTTGAGGCTCTCTCCACTGTCCCAAAAGGAGTTCCAGCCTTTAGCCCACTTCCTTTCTTCCCATTGGATGCCCAAATCCCACCCACACTGCCCTAGGCAGGCAGTTAGTCATTAAGCTCTGTCAAAGTTCCCCCTCTCTGGAATCTCTCTTCCTCTTTCAGTTTATACCACTGTAGAACACAGGTCTTTATCATCTCTCATCTGCTCAAGGCATTCAACAACCTTTTCATCTGTGGCATCTTAGGGGACAGGTATTGATCTAAGACTGGGAAGAGAGAGCCTTCAACGTGCCTCACAATGGTCTCCTAACTGGCTTCTTGGAGTCATTTGTCTCTGCCCTTGCTCCGTCTTCTGGTACTTAGGTAGGATGACCCAACTCGGGTGTTTCCCTACTTCAAAGCAGGCCATAAGTCAAATACAGACTCAACTCCTTCCATTAACCTCTCCTTCCTTCTCTTTCAACCGCAGAACTCTCAGCCTGCAGGAAAAGCCTGGTGAGCGGGAAGCGCTTCCGCTTCCTCCACTGGGACTTATTCTTTCCCTATCTCACAAGGTTGCTCTGGGCTTGTCGGAGATACTGCTCTGGAGACACCCCCAGAAAACGAAACCCAATGCCATCTAATCGATTCCGACTCACTGCGACCAGACATAGGGTTTCCGAGATTGTAAATCTAAATCTTTATGAAAACTGACAGCCTCATCTGTTTCCTCTGGAGGGGCTGGTGGGTTTGAACCATCCACCTTGCAGTTAACAGACCAACGCTTAATTCACTGTGCCACCAAGGCTGCTTGATAGCCTTAGTGCCCTGTTATTGCCCTTTACAGGCTGCGTCTCGTGCAAATTGGAGGCTAGCACAACTGCCGAGAAGCTGATCAGTGTTCAGTGTACGAAACGCATAGTCGGGGAAGAGAGAATGGCTTTTGGGGGTGGAGGGCCTCAGCATCTAGGTGATGCAGCGGCTTAGCCTGTGCGGAGGCGGCTCTAACCCAGCTCCGCATTCCCTCCTCCAGGACCTACAGACGCTTCCTGCCACACCTCGCTTTCTGCCCCACCTCATTTCAGAGTCCCCACCACGCATAGCCCCAAACACCCACCCTCCTCTGATACCTCCCCTGGCTCCCCGATGCGCATCTCGGGAAAGACGAGCCACGGAGCACTGAGATCTGATAAACCCAATGCGGGCTGCCTCCTTCCCTTTTCGTATTCAGCGTGGAGAAAGCGGGGAAAGGATGCATCCCAGGCACTCAAGTGACGAATGAGTAAGCTCCGGCGATGACTCAGAGCCAGGGATCGCTGGTTTGCAGAGTTCGGCCCCAGGAAAGTCAACCAAAAGACCAGCAGTCTGAGTCCGCCGAAAGCGGAGGCGGGGCAGGAGCCACGCGGGTCTCCCGATGCCCTCGGACCCCAGCGCCCTGGGTCTCCCGCGGGTCCGGCCCCGGCCTCGGCCGCTGAGCGAGGGAGGGCTTGAGTAGGAAAGGTCCCACGATCCCGCCTCTTCCCCCCTCCCCCGCCCGCCCCTACTCACATTTGACTGACCAGCTTTTGCCGGAAGGCGGCGCTCCGCCAATCGGTTTCCTGCCCCGAAACGTCCATGCCGGCCCCACCCCCACTCCCGCCGCCCGCTCCCCGTTCCGCCGCCGCCGCCGCCTCAACCGCAGCGCCAGGCCCAAACCCGGAAGCCGTCGGGGGTACCACGGCCGCTCCGGAAGTGGCGCGGGAATTGTGGGAAGCGGAGCCGCACTCGCGGGCTTGTGGGAAATGTAGTCCCCTATTCCTGGTTGAAGTTCTGGTGTGGCCCTGTGGGATAATGTAGCGGACAGCAAGGTCGGCAATTAACAACAACTCCTGGCTGCGCGCGAGACTTCCTGGGTGCATCTCTGGGTCCCTGGAGTCGTGCGCTCCTCTCCTAGTGTGGCTGGCAGATGTAGTTCATTTAACGTTTTAAAGTGCAGTTCATATATTCAGAATATTTTTCTCTGTAAATGGTTGCGTATGGTTGCTGGTGTATCAGATCTTGTGTATAGACTACAGATGAAATGTTAGATCCTGTGTTAAGTACCGACTCCACAGTACTTAACAACAGGATTTCGGAGGATCAGCTGATGGGTTTGAACGGCCGACCTTGTGACTAACGGTCCAGTGCTTACATAACAGTGCCACACCAGGACTCTTTGTTAGATCCTTGGTGGTGGTTATGTGCCGTGGATTCGGTTCCGACTCATAGCGACCCTGTACAGGGTTTCTGAGGCTGTAAATCTTTACGGGAACAGAAAGTCTCATCTTTCTCCCACTGAGCAGCTGGTAGTTTCGGACTGCTGACCTTGCTGTTCGCAGCCTGTAACCACAGGCTACCAGAGCTCCTTAGCCCTGCAGATTTATGGAAAACATCAGTGTCATAAACCTAATTGACAAAGGAAGTCTTCACTGTCAAACCTACCAGAAAATTGGACTCCCTCTAGGACTTTTGCGAGAATATGGTGAACTTCACATTCAATTTAAGTCAGCAAGTTAATAGGGTCCCAGGACAAGCCTCCCCGTTGTGCACTCTGATTCTAGAGAAGGCTGATACAGCCATAGGCACATAGATGAAATTGAGTGCCTTCATTTTTTGGCCCAGAGCTCTTCTCCTTCCTTTGCTGGCCTGAGATAGTGACGCTCAGGGCAGTTGTCCTTGCTTAGAATCTGAATGGGAGATCAGGGAAGGAGACCTAGAGCTGGGCACCAAACTCCAGGCCTCAAGGAGAAAGAGAGGCGATCCTGAAAAGGTCCTGCACTCTCCTGACACCTGAAGATCCCCTAGAGGAACCCAGTCTGAAAGCAGGTGACTTAGACTCCTGGAGGAAATGAGGCAGTAGTTAGAGCTTTTGCAAGAACACCTCTTGCTCCAAGAACACCATCTGTCATCCATATTCCTCCTTTTCCTGCAACTGAATTGTTTCATCAGATCAAGGATCCCAATTCTGAAAATAAAGTTACACAGGAATTGGTGGGATTTCAAAAGTACAAATGTTACTTCATGTTTTTTGGTTGTGGTAAAAATATATCTATAACAATATTTTACCATTTTAACTATTTTAAAAACTTTTTAAACATTTAAACCTGTGACATTTGTTATGTTAAAAATGCTGATTAACATGAGAAATATTTACAAATTTTTCTATGAACAGAAATTCAGTGTCTCCACAATCACTATTCCCTTTCCTGTACCTCCTGCCACTTTGTTGTTGTTGTTGTTAAGCTCCATCCAGTTGGTCCTGATAGGTTAATGCGCTGGACTGCAAAGTCAGTTTGAATTTCAAGGTCAGTGGTTCAAGCTCATGAGCCGCTCCTTAGAAACTCTATATGGGTCACTATGGGTCTCAGCAGCACTTAATAACAACCTTGTGACTAACAGTCCAGTGCTTATCTATAGTGCCACACCAGGACTCCAACCACTAATAAACTTTGGTCTCCATGAATTTGCCTATTGTAGATGTTTCATAGAAATAGGGTTATACAATATTTTTCCTTTGTATTTCACTCAGCATGTTTTCAAGGTTTATCCATGTGGTCGCCTGAATCAGGACTTCATTGTCTTTCTGGTTGGCCCCTTTTATCCCACTCTTCAGTGTAATTATCATTAGGTATGAATTAAGTGCTATCATTTTACTATGTGTTTTTTGTGGTGCTGCTGGTTTCTTTGTTCCACATATAATTTTCTGTGTTGAGTTAATTTTTGTGAGTTTCCTTTTCCTGTTGTTGTGTTAATGTTTTCTTTTTGATATGAAAGTGTGCTAATTTGCTTTGTGATTATCCTATAATGTATTCTTTTTTCCCCATTTAAAACAATCTGTTGTATCTTCAAATCTACTTGACTTCCTTGCCATTTGCAAGTTGTGTATCCACACTATTCCCTCTTTTTGCTTTGTAGTTGACTAACTTACGAATTGTTATGACTGGTTCCCTATTTTCATTTTTGTAGGTTTGTTTTACTTTAAATACTTTTATATCTGGATTGTGTCGCTGTAGGATCAGCACTGGATTGCAAACCACAATGTCAGCAGTTCAAATCCACAAACTGTTCCTCAGAAATCCTCTATGAGTTGGAACCTACTCCATGGTACTTAACAACAACAGTGTCTGGATTGAGTGCTGGGTGGTGTTGTCATGCATGTTAATCTCAGGGGGGTTTCTGCTGTTGTTGGTTCTCAATTCAAAGAACACCCTTTAGTGTTTTTTTTTTTAGTTGGTCTGATTATCACAAATTCCTTTAATTTCTGTTTATTAGGAAATGTCCTAGTTTCATTGTCATATTTGAAGGACAGATTTGCTGGGTATATGATTCTTGGTTGACAATTTTTTTCTTTCAGAGTTTTATATATGTCATTCCATTGCCTTCGTGCCTTCCTGGTTTCTGTGGAGAAATCAAAGCTTAGTCTTATTCTCGTTTGTTCATTTTTATGTAACTTGCTCTCCCCAACCTGCCTCCAGCTGCTCTCAGGATTCTTTCCTTGTCTTTGGAAAGCTTAATTATGATACATCTTGGTGATTTTCTTTTCTTTTTAAAAACTTTTATTGTGAATTGAGTGAAAGTTTACGTTCAGCAAATCATATAATTGGCTCTATTGCACGGTTGCAATCCCTTCAATGTACCAACAGTTAACAGCATTTACCTCTATTCACTTTAACTATTGCATTCCTTCCTGTGACTCCCACTACCTTCATCTTTCCTCTGCTAACTTCCGTCTTATATATTTCCAGCCTTGTTATCCATGTTAACATGTTTCTACACTCTTCTTGTTGTTGTTTGGTGCCATTGAGTCAGTTCTACTCATAGCCATCCAGTATAGAGCTTTTGAGGAGCATCTGGTTAGTTTGAACTACCAATATTGCAGTCCAGTGCATATCCTACAGTGCCACACCAGGACTCCTATTTACCCTCTAGCCTATGAATAATTTCGTCCCCCCACCCCCATCACATAATCATCATAGATTGTTTCTTTTATAAAGAAAATATTTTTTAAAAAACTTTTTACAACACTGTTGTTGTTGTTGTTGTTGTTACGTGCTGCCATTGAGTTGGTTCCGACCCATAGTGACCCTGTATAGGGTTTCTGAGGAGCAGCTAGTGAGCTTGAACCACTGACCTTGCAGTTCAAACAGATTTGCAGTCTGGCACATTAACCCACAGTGCCACACCAGGACTCCATTGGTCTCATAAATATTTGCCATTTGTGATTGACTAATTTCACTCAGCAGGCTGTCCTCCAGGTTCAAACATATTATGAGATGTTTCACAGATTCAGCATTATTCTTCAATGTAATTTTCTTGTGCCTAGTTGATTTTGTTTGTGGGTTTTCTTTTTCATTTTCTTCATTGCTGGTTTTTTATTTTAGTTTTTATTGTGAATTTATTGATAGTTTACATGGGAGAATATTGATTTTGCACTTATCCTATCATAATTCATTTAATTGCAATGATTACATCCCTTCTATACATCATCATTCAATCGTATTTGCTTCTATTCTCTCTGTTTTTGTTTGTTTTTGTGGGTGATATACACAAAAACACTCAAGAATATATAATCATTTAAACAATTGAAGGACACATTCTACATCCCTGCCTGCTGGCTGTGAGAAATAACTCTTGTGGGCATGGTCCATCTTCAGGAATTCATGAGATTGCTAGGTCTGACAAACAGATTGCTGATTTACATTCAGGGAGGGATAGGTAACCTGGCTGTTCTAGGACTAGGAAATTTAAATAAGAATATAGCTACTACCCTGACGGTCAGCAGTTCGAAACTACCAGCAATTCCGTGGGAGAAAGAAGAGGCTTTCTGCTCCCGTAAAGATTTACAGCCTCAGAAACCCTGTATAGGGTCGCTATGAGTCGGAACCTACACCAAGGCACATAACAATAACAACAACATAGCCATTAAGACAATGGGCAAGCCATTTTGACTCCTCTGGGGGGAGGGAAAATGGGACATGCCATAGAATTGTATATGGAGAACTGGACCTGGAGGAGGGGCTTTTTGGAGACAAGTATAAAAACCATTTGTGGCAGGCCATATGACGTGTCTGCCCTTGTCTATGGGCTGTGCGCCCAACTTCGCAAAATTGAATAAAGTAAACCTCACTCTCCCTAAAATGAGTACAGATTGGATTACTTGAGTGTTTGTCAGTAAAGACAACATTTCACACCAATTTGGGGGCTCATATGGGATTTTCTGCCTGCTTGGAGCAGCAGCCCTGCTGAAAAAGGAGATGCGTCTGGCCTTGGTTTGGGCGGCCTACTCCACAGGGTAGATTGCTTCCCAGCGAGAGCCAGAAAAAGACCTGAGACTGTTCAAAGGTGATCAGAATTAGCAAGAGTGATGTGGAGGACTGAGAAGAAAGTAACCGCGGCAACCAGGCAATCTGTACACAGGCCAGGGCAGGAAAATTGGACTGTGAGTATTGCCCTGGTGGTCAGGCATTTTCGGGGGTCATTGTGTGCCTGAGATTCATCTTGGATGTGAAGTGAGTGCGGCGTCCCAATCCAGTCAGAGAAGGACAAAGTGAAATCTCTGGGGGTTGTATACAATAAATCTCCATGAGTATCCAAACATGGAGAAATTTTGGGAGGTTGAGTATGCAAGGGAATTCAGACACCAAGACCG